TGGCACACCCCCCCTGGTTAGGTTAACGGTGGAAGGCGCGAGTAAGGAAGATTCTACGCCTGTTGTGGATTCAACGTCAAGTTTGAAGTTGTCATGCTACCCGGGGACGGCGAAGAACCCAGTAGCCAATCTCATTCCGGGTTTGGAACTAGGTTTGGTAGAGACTTTAGACCGTCAGTTACAAGAGGGCGATGGTGTTATGGTTCCTCATAAGAGAGTGTCAAAGATCGACAGCACTCTTCCGCCATACCTGATTATTCACATGGTGCGTTTCGAGTGGAAAAAAGCCAATGATGCTGCCGGTACTAAGGCCTGTCGTGCCAAGGTATTGAAACGGATAGAGTATCCTCATTTACTCGATTTGTATCCCTTTTGTACGGATTCATTGAAACATGTTTTGGATAAAGGTCGCATTCAAGATGAACAACGAAGAGCCAAGGAACTCCATCAGAGCTCTGATCAAAGGATGGATACCAAACCAGTTGACCAAGCCAAACCAGTCGACCAAGCCAAGCCAGTCGACGAAGCCAAGCCAGTCGAACAAGGAACGAATGATGAGGCCTTGGCGGATGATCCGATAAACTACGCTGATGGTACCTACCAGCTGAAGTCCGTGGTCACCCACAAAGGAAGGACCGTTGAAGAAGGCCACTATATCTGCTGGAACTGGAGCCACCAGGACCAGTCCTGGACCAAACTGGACGACGACAAGTCTTCAAAGGTCGCCAAGGACGCCATCGACCTTCAGGGAGGCCTAGCAGACGGGCATGTTCCGTACATCCTTTTGTTTGAAAGAAAAGGGATCTTTCAGTGAGTAACCATCCCGACGGTAAAAAAGCTAGTGCGCAGAGATGTCTGCCATGACGAAACTTTTGGTGGCATATGCCCTGAACCAACCATTTGTTAGGTTTGGATTTTTACGGATTGGTCTAGGAGGAATAGCGACGAGTACTTTGACGGCATTGGAGAGTACTGGTAGAGGTTCTTGAAGGATGAGAACGACGCCTTCATCAATGTTTCCGCTGGACTTGGCCCATTGTGTTTTTTCATTGAGTATCTTGCCATTGCTATCAAGTGTTCGTAGAGTTACCGGAACGATGTGTGGCGCGTATTCCCAAGGTCCAGAAATTCCGCCAAGCAATAGAGTAGTAACTGTATAGCCTACGAGCCCATGTTGTAGGTCCATCATCAAACCTTTTTCCGACCGTTCCTCAATCGCCAAGTCGATGCCAGAAAAGGGCGTCTGGATTGACACTTCCACCGTACATAGAGGGTATTCACCCATACCCATATCTCTCATCACAGTAGCACACAACGCGGCCGATCTTAACAGGTCTTGGGGATCAATGACCAATGACGTATTACATACATACGACTCAGGATGCGCTGATATGTCCTGGGGACAGTCAAGAAGGGATGTCCGTAAGGTATAATAAGGATCAATGTGGGCACCACTCACAGAATTCGCAAACACCACAAATTTCAAAAATAACGGAGTAATCAACCATACCATACTTAACAACCTCACCATCAAGCGTTCATTACGTCGCTTCTTATTTCCGTCTAGTAATTCTCCCATGTATGTTCGATAGGAGTATTTCCTGGGGTGTCCTTTATTTCTATATCAACTCCATACTGAACTTCTTTACCAACTCTCGTCTCCATTCCTCCCCCTATTCCTCCCTCTATTCCTCGCTCCAAAACGCACACTACTTTTGTCATTACCTTTATCTATCTTGTCTCATCAAAAACGTGTGCTGAAAATTTGACTGAGCGCGCGCATGGGAAAAGGTGTGCTCTGTGCGGCATGCGCTTTGGCTCTAAGCAGTCTGGCTCTAAGCAGTCTGGCTCTAGGCAGCCTGGTGCCTCCAGGGATCCATCTTGAGGGCTACGATCTCTTTGCGGTATTCGGAACCACGGATGAGTTAGTGGAACTGCGGGACGAGCCGGGCTGGAGCTCGGATTTCGATAGCGGTCGGTTTGTGGAAGGCGACAGCGAGGGGTGGACTCTGGAGGGGGAGAGCGAGTGGGAGCCGCAGGGGTTGGAGTCGGAAGGGTTGTTGCGGGAGCTTGAACACACCAAGTCGTCCCGGATGGGTGTTGCGTCCTCTGGATTATTGCGGACCGACTACCCAACCATCGATATGAGCACTGGGGCGGACATTCCGAGAGAGGCTTCAGGTCGAGGGTTCGATACCATGGGTGGGCAAGACGCTGCTGTCTTCCTGCGGTCCCAACTGGGGCGGGAGCCAACTATTCAGGCAACAACTGGGCAGGTAGTTACTACAGCCCAATTACTGAAAAAAGAAGCGAACAGCGCAGGGCAGGTGAGCCGGTGTCCCCACCTGCACAAGCAGCCGGTTGAAATACGATTGGATGACTACGAGCCGTACAACTTGGCGCTGAAATCGACCGAATTGGAATTCACTTTGGGATACAACTTGACCATCATTAAGTCCCGTCTTTCCGTTAAGAACTATGTGGGCGGCGACATTATCCTTCACGGCTCCAAGGACACTCATCTCGACCAGATTGTCTTGTTGTTCAACCGAACGGTGGACCACACAGTGTACACATACCGCCGGAACCTCATGAATTTGGTCTGCCTGAATGACGATCATAACCTGGTTATCAAAGAAGAGCACGTACCCAGTGCACGGGGTGGCACTGCACGCATGTCGCGGTTCATTTTGCTCTTGACTACACACGTGAACCCGGAAGCGAACAAGTTGTTATTTGGTTTGTATCGATCGCGTAATTTGTTGATAACTCAGAATGAGTCGTCAGGGTTTAGACGCATCACGTTCTACCCCGACAGACCCGACGTGATGTCTGTCTTCACCACCACGATCAAAGCCGACCCAAAAGTGTTCCCGGTTCTCCTTTCCAACGGAGAGAAGGTAAGCGAGGGGGATACCGCAGTACCCCTCGCAGACGGCAGTCTTGGTGTCGTCCGTACGGTAGTTTACCACGATCCGTATCCGAAACCATCCTACTTGTTCGCCTTGGCCGCCGGTAGACTCCACCGTCTAGAACGCCAGGTACTTGTAGGCAGACCCTGCACTGAGGCTCTAGACACACTCACAGACCTACTCGGCAACTCCCCCAATCACGCTCTGGCCGCACTCTGCAAGACCCCGGAAGCCGTCTTTGAGGACGTAATCGTTGATTACCAAACTCTACCACAAACCAGACTAAACTACCGAACTGACTACCGAACCGGCAACTACCGACCCTCCAGCACCACTCTCCGATTACCCCAGACCCAGATATATGCACCCAGCTCGCGACTGCAGTCTCCTGTCTTGCAGTCTTCAACCTTGCAGTCTCCAGTCTCAGGCCTGGTCGCCGGACACCTGGATAACTTAGCGACGAAGTCCGGTAAGGGGAGAGCTGCGGTACCCACTCAGTCGCAGCGACTAGCTTCCGCCAGGCCTGCTGCCTTCTCTCCTGGCGGGCCGTATGGTCCTTTCCCCCAGACGGGCAGTAACATAGGCGCTCCACTCCGGATCCCGCTCGAGAAGAGAACCGGCCAACTTCCCATGTCCTATGGCGGATCCATCGACGCGGCACCGCCGTCACGCTCGACCTCATCTGGCTCTACCCCATCCGGCTCCACCGCGTCTGGCTCGACCGCATCTGACTCGACCAGATCTGGCTCCTACAATCTCATGAGACCTGCCAGTCTTCGGCAACTGCAACAACTTTTCTCACCGGGCGTGGCCGTCAATGACTTTATTGGTGCGCTCTTCGGCCTTACCACAGACCGGACTGCCAAACTGGCGTCATTCGACTGGCTCAAAGGCCTCACGGGAAGCAAGTCTGAGTTGGTAACCGATCTGTCGGAGTCGTCCACTGCTGGTCGTTTGGAGTCGTCCGCTGCGCTGCAATTCGCGCTTGCGATGGATGGGGCTGAGAATATTGGGAGTGAGAACACTGGGAGCGAGAACGCGCACTTCTTGGTCAGTGAGCAGCTGCTGGCGAGTGGGGACCTGGACCCCGGCCGACCGGACCTGTTGGCTCGAGAGCTCGTGGCCGAGGAAGCGGACCGCGACGTGGAGACTGACCTGCGTGAGACCGGGCTTCTTGCCGAGCGTGACTCGCCGGCCATCTTCGACAAGTCTGAAGTCGTCCCGGTCTTCGTCCGGCCGGAGGCACCACCCAGTGCGCGAGAGTCAATCGTAGATCTAGATCGACCGAAATGGGCCGATCTCCAAAAAACACCACCGCCCACGTCCGTCAAGACGCAGACGGCGGAACGCACCCTTGGCTCCGTGACGCCGACCACCGCCACCACCTCTACCGGCACGTCCTCTGTCAGTACACTCAGTGCTAGTACACTCAATGGCAGTACACACGAAACGGTCGAAGCTTCGACCTCCGCTGTGCAAGCTAGTTCAACCGCCTCCGAGGTTGGCACCAGTTCACCTACGTCAACTGTCGGTTCTACCTCAACTGTCGGTTCTACCTCAACTGTCGGTTCTACGTCAACTGTCGGTTCTACGTCAACTGTC